AAAAATTTTAATATAGAAAAAAATTCTTCTATGCACAATTTTCAAAATATCGAATTGAACTTAACTTAACAAAACTTAACTTAATTCTACTTAACATAACTTTACTTAAAAACTTTACAGAACTATTAATCTAGAAAAAACTTGAATCTATGTGTAATTTATAAAATTCACAGAGAATACGAAGCACTTACCACTATCACATTAGCAATAACAACAGCAACAAGTCACAACAAGCTTGCACACAAACAGTAATCTTAGCAAATACTTTATCAAAGCAGCTTCTAAGTCAGAAGTACAAGCTGAATAGCTCAGCTCACTTACTTATACCTGTTGAGTGAGTTAAGTATTTGTTTTGTAATGTTTAATAGATAAACAAGCGACTGTTTGCTATTCGGTTGACACTTGTCGCTTGCTGTTGAGATTTCTTGATACTGCTATGTCGTTATCTGCGTTGCTTTTTTGGTTCTTCTTACGTTTTTTCGCGTTTTTACATAGCTGTATTAAAAAAAAAGTCGCAGAGCGAGCAGTCGTCTAGCTCATTAGAATCAAAGCAATCATTGACAGTTAACGGCAACTGAGCTACACAACTGGATAAGCAGTACGAGTTGATGAGTCTGCCATTGAAACGCAGCCAACCGGCAGCAGCGCTGGCAATGTGTACAAATATTAGTTATGCTACAGCTACGCTTATATTCCGAAGAGTAGGTTGTCGGAAGAAGCTCCTCTTTCCGGCCTTTGTTTTTTTTGAATTGATCCTCTTCTTCTTAGTTGTTTACGTATCCAGTTAGTAAAGTAGCTCAAAACTGCAAAGCAAGAAATCTACACTCTCTTGTCTCTTTCGCTGTTACTCTAATTTTTTCCCCACAACTTCAACTTTCCCAACACCAGCCGGCGGCAATTAACTGTTTAGTTCACTGTCTCACCGCTGCATATAATTTGCATTTCCCATTGCGCATTCCCGTCATTTGTAAAGCGGGTATTTAAAAACGACGCAGGGCCCACACCCAGTCAATGGTAGTTGCCTGCAACAACAAATTGGTGTGAGAACGGTTTACTTGACTTTTTCTTTTTTGTTATAGCTGTTGCTGTCTTAATTTTGCAAATTAGTTTTCCTGTATGCCCACAGCATAACCAGTGTCATTTGTTGTTTGAATGTCAACACTTCTGTGGCCACTTCACTTCTCTTACAGACGCGCATGCGCCAACTAACTGGCTTAAATGAGTTATGTTAGTATTGGTATATTCGGGTAAACGAGTCTTTCGTTATTTTACCACTTATGCGACTTCATAGCTCTGAAGGATTAGACAAACATTTATGCATTGCAAAGTTGGTGATTATTTTCTCTGTCAGCTCATTTGTTAATTAAATTGGTTTTGGTGGATTGCAAGTAAAGCGTTCTTAGTGACAACTTTATAACGGCTTGCGAATGCTGCGTTGGATTTCTTTCAACAGCACAGTGGTTCATTTAAGTCTACTCGTAATTAGTGAAAACTTCTGTGTTTCTTTTAAGGGTATCTTAAGTGCCCACATATAGCTTGACATTCGTACACTATACTCATTTCTTATATAATAACCTTAAATTTCTAAAGTTTCCTTTTTTGAAAATTACAGGTTAAATGCTTAATCACATCCTTTAAGATGAATCGCTTAAGTAACTTAACATCCTTATAGATCTCTGCTATGGTATACTACCACAGTCGCATTGGATTAAATTTTTTTTGGAAAAGTGATTTAGTCTGATCGAAAATAGGAATCAAAAACTTATATAGAAATATTAGCCTCTTATAAGGTACATATCTTCTAACAAATTTCACTCATTTAAGATCCCAATGTTGTAAGGAAATTCGCATTATCTGATAACTCATATTATTACGATACGTTTTTGTACAGACTTTGGGGTAATGACTTTTTATACAAGTTATTTTATAGATTTGAAATCGTTTTTGCAATTTATCACTCTCTCCAAAATCTCTAAAAGTATTTATGTCTCTCTTGTTAGACCAGTAAACAGATTGACAAACAACATTTGACAGCAAGAGCTTAAAATATTTTTAAAATTTTTTATGAGCATTTTGATTTGAAATATGTATATATATATAGGTATATATTAAATATCCATATATGTACATATATATTACTAGCCGCTATTTGTAAAATTATTAGCTTTGTCGCATTGTCTTTCATTGTTTCGTTCAAATTGATTGGTTATTGCCCTTTTAGAAGAAATGTAAACCTCTTAAATAACCATTAGGTGTAATGGGATATATTTTTTTAAGATAATTTTTATACGGAATTGTATCTATGACTTTATTATGTAATAACCTTTTGGGTAGTTTTAAGTTATTTGCTAATGTCTCTAGAATTCACATATATATATATATATTAGGGTGCTTTTTTTTAACTTTTTTTTTCAATCCCATGGTGAAATTTTATTGGAAATACCAAAAAAAAAATTCTCTGAAACTTTGAGCTTTTAATATTAATATTAGATTTTCCATCTAAAATACACGTAAAACTTGATTTTTTCCTTTTTAATTTTATAACTCAGCGGCCTTTGATGGAATTATCTCACCCGTCATTAGGTATTCCTCAGAATTGAACGTTCTACAAAAGTCTACATTGCGGTAAAGTTATAACTTGCACCTGCGGGGTAGTACGGGCCACCAAATCTAATTTTTCTATGAAATTCCCCTTTTTTTGGATTTATCTCGTAAACAACACTAGCTACAGAAAAATTGTAAATAAGAAACTTGTAGGAAATTTCCCACAAAAAAGTTTTTAGCACCAAATCAATAATGTTAATACCCTTTGAGATACAGATACTTCAAGTTGAAGTGGTACGGAATTCTCATTTAACAATTCAACTTAAAATTTCCGTACTACTTCAACTTAAAATGGTGGAATCGAAAAAAAATAGTTAAAAAAAAGCAACCTAATATATATATATATTTATATAGAAACTTGGGAAGTTAAAAATTATTTAAAAATTTAAAATGGTATTTTCTATATATTTAGCAACCAGGCTCCAATTCAACATCGAATTTGAGGAATCTGACAATGAAGATACTGTAAGGACAAACCTCTTTGGGAGACTGACTCTAATATTTTTATACATGCATATGTAGTTGTCGCCAAGAACTCTACTAGAGTTAAGCCCTGAAAGAAATACCGTCAAAATATCTTGAAATCAATATATAATTAAGAAGGAAGAGTAGAGATCACAGATGTGTTTCAACTTGCCTCAAATTCGAAATGGTTATATTCACTTCAGATTCATTCGTAAAACGTAATCTATGTATATACTCAGCTACTACGTACAATAAGAAAACTAAATCGTCAAAAAATACAATATGTTCGCCTGGAGTACTACGTAGAACCCAGATATCCTAGCCTATAACGTTAAATGGAGGGTTGTAAGTATATACCTTTCACAGAAGAATTGGAACACAAGTACTCCTATAATATTTTTTTTTGTTCCAAGGCTCAGTATAGCAATATATTCAAAAACTTACTCGTATCACTACATTTCAAATAAAAGTCGATAATGATAAACAACAAAAAAAAAAACAAAAAAAAAGGAAACAAATCAAAGCACCAAACTCCGGTCAGTTGTGTCTTTAATTCACATTTAGTAACTTCAACGAACGTCCTCAACGCAAACCGCCTTTTTTATGGTGATTTTTATCACTTATCCTAGACTTTTGCCACCACTACCAACACCACCACCAATTAGAATCAGACATTTTACACATGATGTCTATGATTATTTAGAAGTGTTTGTACTTGTTGTTGGATTTATAAAAGTCATAGCTGAAGCGTATTTATATGAGTTTTTAATGTTGAAAAATGCAATTTTACGTGTCTCCACAAATGTTTATTGCGACAGCCTTCGTTAGCTTACGCTAGACACTCGTACACACGTACACATACACAAACAAAAATTGTTACGATTTTTTTACGACCAGCGATAATAAAATGTTGATTACCAACAAGTTGTTTACTTTGAAGGATATTCAGAGTGAATTATGGTTAGGGAAGTGACACTTTAAGAGGAGCATAAAGTGAAAATACAGACAGATACTATTAAGTGATGACCCCCTTGATGTTGAGAGTTGTTAGAAAACTCGTACAACAATTTTTAAATTGTCATTTTTTGCAAATGAAGGATACAATTTAGATTGCTGACTGTATATTTCAAATTTAGAAAAAATTATTTGGTTCCTCGAATATTGAATACTGAGCTGTAAATTTTAAGTTTTGAAATTTTAGTTTTGAGTTTTGAACATTAAATTTTGGACTTTAAGTTAGTTCAGTTTTTAATTTTGGGTTTAAAATTTTGAATTTTGAAAATCTTGTGTTCTGGAATTGAAATTTTGAGTTTTGAACTTTGAGTTTTCAATTTAAAATTTTGAACTTTAATTTTTAAATTTTGAAGTTATATTTTTGATTTGTAAAATCGAATTTTAAATTTCGAAATTTTAATTTTCGAACTTTGAATTACGTAGTTTCGTTAGTTTCAAATTTAAAACTTAGAATTGTGTATGTTGAGTGTTGCATTTTGAACATTGAATATTTAAATTAGAATAATTATATTTTGAATTTAGAATTTTGAATTTTGAATTTGGAATTTCAAATTTTGAAATTGGACTTTTGTATTGTAAATTTTGAATATAAAACTTTGAGTTTTAAAATTTTGAGCTTTGAATTTGAAATATCGATTTTTGTTTTGAAATTTGATTTTCAAATTTTAAGTTTTGAATTTTGAGCTTTTAGTTTTGAACTTTTAAAGCTTGAGTTTTGATTTTTTAATTTCAAATTTTGATTTCAAAATTTTAATTTGGATTTTAAATTTTGATATTCGAATTTTTAATATAGAAAAGAAAAATATTTTTTTCTTTTAGTTTCAAATGAGTAAGTTCGCTGCCTCGCCATAAATTCATAAATTATTTTTTTCATATCTCTCACGAATATGTACGAATACATTTATATACATACGTACCTTCTGTTGCCGCTGTGTAGGTGTCACCGCTTTAGTTCGCTAATAATTTCTTGTTTCTTCGACCTTTTTCTAGTATAATCTTTTTTCCCACTATGTGTCTCATTTCAATGTCTCATTACTCAATGATTAGTCGTCTGCGTTGTTATTGTACAACTAACCCATATAAAGCAGTTCGATAGCTGCCCACACTGTCTATGGACTTCGCTCTGACGATATGATGTTTTCGCATGACAAATTCTGCACAATTTTTTCAAACATCAAACATGTGACCAACTCAAGAAGACGCTGAAAAGATATGTTTATAAATGACATTGATTTATGTTTGCTTCGCCAAACAACAAGTTAACACGCTAAGTCTCTCAATTCGCATGCAATCTCAATTTAGTAAGTATGAGTGTGTAAGTGTGTTGTATAGCGGTAGATTTCCACTTATAGATTAATGAGAAGCGACCATTTCATGTAGCGATTGACGGGAGATTTGTACTTGCAGTGTGTTGGCTATGACAGCACTGTCTGACACACTATGAGGTAATAATTTAATTTGCTGCATTCGAACGTAATTTGCGAATGTCTGGTTGATTGTTCATTTGCGTCATGCAAATATGCAACTCAGCCGAATTTTAGCCTTGCGAAGTTCACTGAAATCTTTCAGAGATATTAACTGATTTACTCAAATATTGCTGTTGGAAGATATCACGCAGATATTGGCAATTTTGGAAGACTTCCTGTACGTATATGGCGGGGACGTTCGTCAAGTTCTTTAAAATACTTATGTTGAGTCCACCAATAAGAGATTTTAACCTTTTTATATTATCATCGTGAACTGTGTATATTCATGTCAATCACACTAAAAAGCTTTTAAATATACCAATTTTTAAATAGAATAAATCCCACTGAGGGAGTTTTTTAGAAAAATTTATGCTCAACAAAATCCCCGATGTAAAAAAAAACATCCTAAACTGTTCAAAAATTACGGTATTTTTGATGAAAACTGATTTTTACTTGTTATTTATATGGGGAATTTTTAATGCTTACCGTCATCTTCTAAATTGGTACCTTGCAGGAATATTCTTTTTCACTGGATATAAGTTCATTTTAACCCATGAATTCGATAGGTTATTTCTATACGCCATATAGGGTATATTAAGTTTGCAATGATGTTTGTAACAACCTGAAGAAAACGCCAGAGGCCCTATAAAATGTACAAGTAAGTGATCAGCATCGCGAACTAAGCCGATTTAGCCATGTCCGCCTGTCTGTCAGTACGTCTATATATATGCGAAGTAGTCCCACAGTTTTTGAGATATCGATCTGAAATTTTGCACGAGTTCTTTTCTCACCAAGAAACTGCTCATTTGTCAGATTGGACCGATATCGCACCCGTGTAGCGTATAGCTGCCATATAAACTGAACGATCGGAATAAATTGCTAGTATGGAAAGATTTTTCATTTGAGGAGATATCGTCACGAAATTTGGCATGAATTATTATCTGAGGAAATAATGCAAACTCCCAAGAAATTGCTCAGATCGAATAACTATAGCATATAGCTGCCATACAAACTGAACGATCTAAGTGTATTTGCGAAGGGTATTATAGCTTCAGTACAATCGAAGTGTACCGTTTTTCTTGTTTCGACTCACCTTAATCACTTCAAGCTTATGACGCCCGAAATGCCAATTATGCGACAGAATTGAGTACATTTATATCCTTACAAGTATATCAATTATTTTTTGAGGTTCTTTCGTGCTTTCAAATAGATGTATATGCATTATGAAAAAAGTGTAAATTAAGCAAATTGAGGAAGGATTAATGCTGTGATTAGACAAATGAAAATTTGCAAAAATATTTCCCAGGCTTCGTCCAAATAATATTGTATGCGTATATACATATATACATATACTTGTACATGTACATATTTCACCTCTTCTACGTTCTGCATAAGCTGCTTATTAATTTACTGAATCATTCACATTTGTAATTGCATTGCAATCATTTCTGCGCAGTAAGAGTATTTTCCCCAACGCACAACCTACCATTTAACTCCATACATAGGTATATATACATACGTATGACTGTACCTCACCATTTAACCACTTTCAATGGGCAATAAACCCCAGCTCAGTGTCAGGCTAATTTGTACATAATCTGCTTGCGAATTTCTCGGCGCAGATCAGTGTCCGCTGGCTATGACATAACAGTGCATGGCTATTAGAAGTGCAATGCACCGGCGCAAAGAAGAGTGTTGGCCGCTAATAACGCTACGCAGAACCGTAGTACCTTAGGTAGAAGAGAAAGCGGAGCCAGGGTCCAACACAATATCCGTATGGCCTATCGATTTCCCTTTCCTCTGCGGCATCGTGTATGGTGCGCATTAATTACTGTGCGACATGAAAGCGCGTGAAAAATAAAATCCAATAAATGCATGCGAAAGTATGAAATTAAAAGCTTTCCAAATGGCAAAGCGACAGCCATTTGATATGAATTGTGTGCAGCACATATTCGTGTATATATGTGCGAGTGTTTGCGCTTAAGATCAGATTATAGCTTTATATGCATATGTGGCGCCATTTGTTGCATTACATAAGCCTTGCAACATTGCAATATTTATGCCATACTTTGGTTGCCTCAGCGTGATATGCGTGTTGCAGCTTATATTTATAAAATTGTTTATGTGTGAGCTTGTGTGTGTATAGTTTGAAGTATGCTGTTAGAATTAAAAAGTTGTTATGTAAGCTTTAACACTTTTTCACTAGTGCGTTAATAAGTAGTAAGTGACTAGTTACAAAGACGTTAGTTTAAATTTAAGTAGAAAAAACTATTTAGCAAACTTTGACAAGCTGCAAGTTTAACTGTAATTGAGATATATATATAGAGTAATGTTTATCAAAATAAAAAAATTGGCGATATCAAACGACTTGGTGATGATTGTTCGTCCATTCGTTTATATGTATGAGCAATAATCTAAATCTGCCTAAAAATAATGATATGGAAGGGTCACTTAAAATAAAGTGAAAAAGTTATGCTATGGATCACTTTTAGATTTCATATTGAACAAGCAACTAAAACGATTTCATGAAATTAGTAGAGGTATAGTTGCGTAATGGGATCGGTACACAATCTTATTCAATTCACATACAACGCCATTTGGCGACCCAGCAGCATATTTGACTTCACGTCAAGGTAAAGAAAATCGCCTGACTCTTCTCTCTTAGCTACCATTATATCGAGAAAATCAACGGAAATTGATCTTTGACTTAATTTAATCCCGTTAAACGTGATATGTCTGTATATACGCGAACTATTCCTTCAATTTTTAAAATATCGATCTGAAATTTTGCACATAACCTTTTCTACGCAAGAAGCTTCTCGCTTGTCAGAATGACCGTTATCGCTAGCTGCTATACAAACTGAACGATCAAATACATGTCCTTGTATGGAAAACTTTTCGATTTGACGAGATAGCTTCACAAAATTAGACATGGAATATTATGCCATATAACAGCACAATCCCTGAAGGATTCACTATAGCATATAGCTGCCATAGAAATTGATCGCAAAAAATCAGGAGAAGTAACTATTTATAGCCTTTATGCTATAAAAAAATGCACAAGTGAAATTTTTTTCTTGTTTTATAATAATTTTCGTGTACTTGTATATATGTGTATATAGTATATGTGCTATAAAGTAACCAGTCACTTGCTATCTGCAACAATAACTAGTTGGCAAGGCGCTAATTACACAACAGCAAGTGCATCCACATCGTAGAAACGCTTAACGCACCAAATGTTCGTGTTTATATATGTGTGTGTGTGTGTGTGTGAATGTGCGCTTGGCACTTCCGCAAAGATTAATGTCTTAATTTAAAACGATTTGCGTTGTTGCATGCAACACTCAACCGTTGCACACTGCAACGTTCTCACGCATAGTTGTGTGAAGTACAAACATTTTTGATTTGAACACATCAACTTGGCTGCCACCAAGTGTGGCAGTTGGATTTGATGACTTATAGAGAAAGAGGAGTGGGACAAAAGTATTGAAAAAAGTATGATTTGTCTATGACTGCATATATATTTTGTTGGATAGTTAGCTCTGCATAACCTGCGGCGACTTATTGCGCCACTTTTACTTGCCGTTTTCACACACACACACACACAATTATATTTGCACATATGCGTGTAAGTAAGCGTGCTGGCTTCTAAGCAGGTTTATGCGATTTGAATTTATGTGAACTTGACATTCACTTCTTGCCACTTGTGGCATGTTTGCACAGCAACAACAATCGAATTTTTGCAATAAATAATTTTCATATTTCGCTTATCTTTTATTTTTATTTTTTAGCCAGCACAGACAAACACACATGTGAATATATGTATATGTATGAGCACCGCTATGTCTATACAAATTCATTGTGGCGCTCAGTACGTTGCATTCACCAATTATTAGCGCTGTCTAATTTTAGTGTTTCTCCAATTCAACAGCGTATAATCAGCGTGATTGCTTTTGGCGTCAATTAATTGTTTAATTTTTATGTATTTTCACCGCAACCAAACAGCAAAAAGGAGGAAGTATGTCACTGTGTGCTCTGACCCCATTGCTGTTGCTGCTTTATCATTTTCATATTATGACATTTTTTATTTGTTTGCCAATTTACCGTTAGTGTGGCAGAGTAACAATCATCTTGTTATTGATTGGCGAAAAACAGCAATGTGTGCCAAGTCTCTTTCTACACACTTTTACACATACAAAATTGATGAAAGCGCTTAAAAATAATTTCACTTATCTTTCTCTTCGATTCTTCAACTGTATAATTGCTGATTGTCTTCTGCTATTGACCATTATGCATAAAATGCTTATGACGCAATCATAAAATAATTAATTTTAATCACTTTTGTTGCAAGCACCAGTGTGGAAATGTATATTTACCGTTATTTTTATTTAGTTTTATTTTTTCTTTTTTCTGCGCGCATCTTTCATCAATTTGCTGATAGCTTTTGCCTGAGCATTTGAGAATCATTCAATGGATCAGTGAACTGTTGAATGGAGTATATATTACTCTTCACCGACTAATTGCAATAATCGACTGACAAGCATAAATCATCATTAATTAAGTAATTCTTACATCGCGTACACCTTGGATTCTTACGGCATCACCTTTTCTTGTTGTTGCTTCATAAGCTCAGAATATATTTATTATTCAGTTATATAAGGGAAATTGATGTAATTTACTGACAGCACCAAATATATTATGCATTTAAAGCTCATAATATTTTTACGGACTCTTAT